ATTTCTCTTATTCTGTGATCCTTAAGGCTTGCCGTATCCAACAATATTTTATGATTACCAGTCAAACCAAGTGCTTATGCCAGTTATGGTATCACAAGTATTTAACGTCCAGGCAGTTGGCTCTTTACATTAGAATTGTAAGGTAACATTTGACAGCTTAATCTCTTAGGAAAGATCAAAGTTTGTATTAGTAGGTGGATCCAGGCAAGTTTAGGCATTTTCTTGTCCTCTGTCAGTCTACCTCGCAGATTCTTATTTTAGTCATGTTATAATAGTGGAAAGTACTGACAGCATGCAATTATTAGTTTTGGTTTCTATTCCTCTTGGTTGTGCCTATCCTTTTATTTTCATTTTTTCTTATCAATCAGTAGTGAATATTGGGCAAGATCATGGTTATTAGTCTCTTTCCTGTTTATTTACACAAATATTAAGTAAAATGGTAAGAACTGTGTAAGTGATTCATTGAGATCTTTCTAAGACTATCTCCCACTTCTTGACTATAACAGGCAAAGATATGAATACCCATAGAAGCAGAATATTTGTTGGTGTATCTGGGGTAAAAACTGTCCTGCAAATGTGCCGTTAACTCTGAAAAAGGTAACTAGTAGAACTAAAAGTATTCTTGATAAAACAGCTGTTTCAATTTGTAAAATTTGATCTCAAGGTTTCAGGTTCAGAAATGTTTTCCAACTTATTTTTTAACCAACCTCATAGCCTTCATGTTTTGGCAATGCTAAAGTTTGTTTTCCTATATATAAAGAATATAGATAAGTCCTTTTTACCCTCAATGTTGTTCAGTGAAGTGTGAGTTCTTAAAAGCCTGATGGACGATGATATAATGCTCTAATTCTAAATACCTTAATTGAAGAAAAAAAATCTAGGGCACTTAGCAAATCGGTTCTCTTACACAATGGCTAATTTGTCTGCCTTTCTGGACATTTCTTTTGTTTCTTTAAGTACCTGATGGTCAAGCTGTATGCCAGGTGTCAGCTCTATTGTCTGAGGGTGAGTTCAAAACTGGGTTTAAAAAGTAGTCTTTGCATGAGACAGAGTCTGATTTCATAATTCATTCACATTTAATAACTTCTCACCTTTCCAAAGACTTTAGCAAGTTAGTACTTAGATATCCCTTTTAAATAGCAAGATGTAATTGTGTAGTACTATACTTCGAATTCACCACCCTAAATATTTGTGACTAAACTTTGTATATGGCTGGGCTATTTTTAGCAAGATTCTTAAAGTACACTGAAGTATTCTGTGTCATGTCCAGGCAATTAAAATTCTGAATGTTTGGGTTGGTTATTTTTAGTCCCTAACACATACTTTTATCCTATTACGTATTTTAATTGTCAAAAAAGCCCACTTAGCCAGGTCCTCCCCCACCACAAGATTTGGCATGATGTATCTGTTATTTTAAATGCAAATGATTTGGGTCCAGGAATGCCTTTATAATAATCTAGGTTCAAGAAGTGAACTTTTTTTTTTTTAAGTATATTTCTTCACTTTCTTTACTGAAAGGCCCTATGGAAAGACCACTGAACAACACTCCTGGGATAACTTGTTGTCCTATAGAATATAAGAATATCTTTATAAGGAAATGTAAGCCATAGATATTTTGGGAGGCAGCTGGACCAAGATGGGGCATACGTTTGGTTTCCAGACTGCTCTGTTGTCTGTGCGAGTGAGAAAACTTATGGAGGGAGCATATGTATTATATTCTATGACATTTGGTGACTCTTGTCCTTAAAATTTGATTTATATATAAATATTCTGAATCAGGTTAAGTAAAAGGCTGTATAAGCCCCCCTACCTGGTTGTTTTGATTTCTATTTTTACACTAGAAGAAACATGACTAACTTTTTTTGTAAGAGATTTAAAAATAACATTGACTATTGAAAGAGTGAAAATCTCATTACACTCTGTCACCAAAATATTTTTGGTACTGTATTTGAATGGGAGTGTAGAATCCAGCGTCCACAAAAATGGTGACTTCGAGTCTCCCCAGCCCCTTATATTTTTAAAGTGCTATTTGGGGAAATTTTCCTTCCCCAGAAAAGTGATATAAATTTGGCAGGAAGATGGCTGCTTTACCTTGGAGCTGTACTGGGCTTGGCTAAGGAATGTGTCTAGGATTGCTTTGGGTCTCCCTTCTCGATTTCCCTCAGGCCTTCACAGCTCCTAGTGTAACCCCCAAGGTAATTCAGTGCAAATGGTGATGTAGAACCTCCCCCCAAGAGCTTGATTAGAGCTGCTTGCCTATAAAGGGAGATGAGTTTTATAATTCTCACTGTCTTCCCATTTCTGGTTTTGAAGGTGCAGTTTGGGAGGAGGTGTGCTTCTAAGTTGGCAGTCTCTTCTCTGAAACCCCAGGGATGGGGCTATGATGTTACTTTCTGGGTTTTTCCCATTTACCTAAGGGCTAAGCTGCGTACTTAGAAAGAAACTATATGGATTATACACAAAGGGCTTGGCACACAGGATATTTTAAGGAGAGAGATCCCTGGTTGATACTGTTCTAGAATGACATGCTTTCTATGTACAGACCATCTCAAAGTGGCTTTCTTGCAGAATTCTCCAGAGAATGGGAGAGTACTGCCTCTCCTCTAATGACCTAAAGCCTATCAAGTCTTCTTCCCAGTAGTTGGGGGAGGGAAAATAATGCCAGCTGTGGACCTTTAGGTTTCTTAACGTCTTTGAAGGCTGTCCTGCACTCTTCAGTCTTCTAGTTCAGGTGCTAAATGAATCAGATTTTTGCATTTTCTAAATGTGGTGATTGCCCTTTGTCAAGCTTTCTTTACTTTATTTTATTTTATTTTTTTTAAAGATTTATTTGAAAGGCAGAGTTACAGAGAGGCAGAGAGAGAGAGAGAGAGGTCTTCCATTCGCTGGTTCACTCCCTAGATGGCTGCAATGGCTGGAACTGTGTGATCCGAAGCCAGGAGCTGGGAGCTGCTTTCAGATCCCCCACACAGGTGCAGGGGCCAGAGGACTTGGGCCATCTTCTACTGCTTTCTCAGGCCACAGCCGAGAGCTGGATCAGAAGAGGAGCAGCTGAGACTTGAACCGGTGCCCCTGTGGGATGCTAGCACTGCAGGTGGCCGCTTTACTGGCTACACCACAGTGCTAGCCCCCAAGCTTTCTTTAGCTCACATAAGTTGAAATAGACACAGAATTCACATAAATTTCATCTGAGTTCATAAGAAGGGAATATTGAATGAATTGTTTTTACAACATTTATTTTTTTGAAATTTCAGGGGGTGGGGGAGGGAGAGAGAGAGAGAGGAGAGAGAGAATCCAGTGGTTCACTCCCCACATGGCAGCAACAGCCAAGGCTGGGCCAGGTTGAAGCCAGGAAACAGGAATGCCACCCAGGTCTCTTATGTAGCTTTCAGTGATCCAAACACCCTAAGCCATCTTAGGCTGCCTCCCAGGCATACTAGCAGGGAGCTGGATCAGAAGCAGAGTAGCAGGACTCCGATATATTGAATGAATTTAAACATTTCAAATATTTTAGTGCTGAATTTCTACAGTTACACATGAGTTTACTGTTACTTAGCTGTTTGTCATAACCCCAGCTTCCGTCTTTTCTGTGTTGCTTCTGTTCATCTCATTTGTTGTTGTTGTTTTTTTTTTTTTTGTATCTTAACATTTTCCTATAAAGAAAAATTTTGGTTGGCCTTGTGTTTTCCGGGATCATTTGGAGTTCATGGTCATGTTATCCAGTTTTTTATGCCACTATCAACTCTCTGGTCTTCTTTTATAAGGATATTTTTAATAACATTTTCATTTTATGAAAAAAAATGATTTTTTTTAACTTGTGGCTCATGGAATCAAGGCCCCCACATTCAAGAGCGCATTCTAGATATTGGGTGAGTCACTTCACCACTTTGGACCTTAAATTTCACATCTGCAAAAAGAAGGTGCTCGCTTTATCTTCAGGGTCACACCTAGGGATCTTTTTTCAGCATGAGCTCTTTGAGTAACACTGAATGAGGACCCAGGACCCGATGTGTCGTTTCTTTTGAGAGTGACTAAGTATTTATATATGTACGTTACCACTTTGTGATTTAGAATTCTAAGTCCTATTTCTTTTATCCTTTGAATTCATGTCAGGTCCAAAATCTATTGTAGTCTTCACAGGTGAACCACTGTGCTAATGGAAAATGGCTATTCAACTGGCAGATTTTCCTTTCAGAAATCCATAAAGCTCCTGGTGGAGAAGCATGAGATGAAAAATATGTATTATTTCATATGTTCATGGAAATATGTATTATCAAGATAGCATACATGGATTTAAATTTTTTGTACCAAAATAAACTTACCTGTAATTCGATTTCTCACAAATGTTTTCAATCCCCTTGTGTTTTCCCATGAAGATACCTTCGTATCAGTGGTACTCCTCCCCTTCCACCAAGGCAGCCTGGTGGTGTGGAGGAACAGTTTCTGTGGGGGAAAGCAGTTGGGGGAGATCCTATTCTCTTGCCTTGGGGCTTGATTCTGCTTTCTTGAGATAGTTGGTCAAGTATTAGGGTGCTGTCCCAAAGGGAGAATAGTGTATTTTCAGGCCAAATTAAAGACATGTGACCTTTGCTCATGATATCCCTGCCCTTTAAAGATAGTTCCAGTGTAATCTTTGGGTACGAATTTTCTACTTCTAGATTCTGGCATACTGAAGATTTTCATTAAACAAGCTCCTTGGGAAGCCTTACTTGTACTTTCAGACTTTGGAATACTTAGGACTCCACCAATAGTGCTCTTCAGGAATTCTCATGCCCATGGGCGCCAGCAGTTCTTGGTTCATTCTGTCCTTCCTTGTTGGGGATGGGTAGGACTTTCTCAAGGCTGACAACTTGCCTACATGTTTTGTTTCTAGAAATAATTATATTAGATAACTTTTTAAGTCCTTTAAAAGTGATATTTTATTGGTTATTAGATAACTATATTTTTTATACTCGAGATTATTTTATAGGTAAAAAGGGATGTTATGTTAAAAGTAAATTTTAGAACTAAGTAATTTCTTTAGAATGTTTCATTTTTCTAAAAGGTACAGTTGACTCTTTCTCGGATACTCCCTTCTCTGGGTTTTGATTCAGATCTGATTTGAAAATGAATTCTACAGCCCAGCCAGCAGCCAACACATTCAGTTGTGCTCACTCAAAACCTGAATAGGCTGAGTGTCTCAAATACAGTTGTGCATTTTCTATCCTCTCTTTCTTTTAAAAAAAGGAGGGGGGGGATGTTTTTCCCATTACTGTCTTGACATCTGCCTGGTTACACATGAATAGCTTGACCCAGTCCCTCAGCGGGGAGACTACCGTGGCCTTGCTTTCAATAGCCATGTCACTGACAAAGAAAACATATGGAATATTTCATTCCTATCCTTTGCAAACAGAGTCTGGGACTGTGAGGGCATACAGCAGAAGGCTTCCTACTTCATGGTAGGTTGGCACATTTGCACGTTAACCACAGACTGTGCTGTCAGTAATCAAACTGTTTTCCAAAGCCCCATTACATTCTGTGGAAAGGAAATCCTCCGTTTTGGATAAATCAATTTCTAATATCAGTTTGAATTAAGTCTGTGTGGCGTGCTTCCAAGGTAGGATTTCCTACTGAACCATATATATTCATCAAAGGGCGTGTATGTGTGTGTGTGTGTGCGCACGCGCGCGCGCGCACAGGGCATTTGGTTTCTGCTTTTGCAGACTTGGTATGTAATGTGTGTTGGGAATGCAGATGCTTGATTCCCAGTAGAACATGCCTTGAGGACTGCCTGCCTTTATGTTTATCTTCTTGTCAGTTCACAGAAAGAGATCAATTGATCTTTCTCATGCTAGCCAAACACTGCTGCATTGACTGGGAAATGTTTCTGCTGTCTAGTACCCGCTTTCTACTTGGGGGCTTGATTTCAATTCAGCTAGCATTAAAGGGCTTTGGTTTTTGGCATCTGAATCTATGGTGTGGAGGCTTGTTGGCAGGTGTGACAAGAGACAGCCAAGAACATGGAAAACAGTGGTAAGTTAATTCCTATCTTTCTCAGGTCTTATTCTGTTTTCAAAAACTTACCCTTTGTATTACCTTGGCTGAGGTAGCATTCTGTTAGGAGAAAAAAAAAATCCCAAACCTATGACATTCAAAGGTGAGAATAGTCATAATTCTGGTGGAGAAAATAGTGACATCCATTTCATCAGGACCCTTTCTAATGCTGAAGTTTCCCCAGCCTGAGTGTCTTCTTTTATTATATATATTATATATATGAGCTAGTTTTGACCAGGGTTGGTTTATCTAAAAGGAATTGATCTGTTGATTATTTTATCCCAGATACAGCCAAATATTTATATGTATATGTAAATCTTATCTAGAAGCCATTTATTTATTTATTTATTTTTGACAGGCAGAGTGGACAGTGAGAGAGAGACAGAGAGAAAGGTCTTCCTTTGCCATTGGTTCACCCTCCAATGGCCGCTACGGCCGGCGCGCTGCGGCAGGCGCACCGCGCTGATCCAATGGCAGGAGCCAGGTGCTTCTCCTGGTCTCCCATGCGTGTGCAGGGCCCAAGTACTTGGGCCAACCTCCACTGCACTCCCTGGCCACAGCAGAGAGCTGGCCTGGAAGAGGGGCAACCGGGACAGAATCCGGCACCCAGACCGGGACTAGAACCTGGTGTGCCAGCGCCGCTAGGCGGAGGATTAGCCTAGTGAGCTGCGGCGCCGGCTGATTTCTTTATTTAAAAAATTATCTTTTCATCTACTTTAAAAGCAGAGTGATAGCGATGGAGAGAAAAAGAGAGAGAGGGAAATCCTCTATCCGCCATCTGCTGATTTATCCCTCAAATGCTCTTAAGAGCCAGGGCTGGGCTAGACAAAAGTCAGGAGTCCAGAACTCCATCTGGGACCCAAGTGCCTGAGCCGTCATCTGTTGGATCCCAAGATGCATCAGTAGGAACCTGGATTGGAAGTAGAGCAGCCAGGACTCAAATTCATACTTTGACATGGGATGAGGGCATGCCAAGCAAAGACCCAGTCCACTACCATAATAACTGCCCCAGAAGGCGTTTTTGATGGTTCATGATATCAGTATCGAATATAAGATGTATAACTTTATGCTAGTAGAAGTTATCATCTTTCATATTTTCTCATTACTTCTTTTTATAATTCTTTATTATAATAGATTCTCTTTGAATTTATTGGCTCTTGAAATGTTAAATTTTAAAATTTTTGTTTTATGGTCCTTCACAAAAGGATCTACATAGGTTCCCTCTTTTTCTGTTTTTTTTTTTTTTTTTTTTTTTTTTTCCTTAGTGCTACTATATTTTTATCCTGGAATGAAGGATTTCATCTTGAATGTTCTATCTTCATTTTGTTGACCACCTAACTGAAATATGCCATATGGTAGAATCTCAGATGCTGTATGGTGAGTATAAGGAGCCAGGCATGAAAGACAACCTTCTGTTTCATTCAATTTGTAAGACATTCTAGTAGAGGCAAAACTATGTAACATAAGAGACCTAGGGTAGAAAATACTTCAGCACTGGCCGGCAGCTGGAGGTAGGAAGAAGTATTAACTACAAAGGGACACAAGAAGATTTGGGAAAGTGATGAAAATAGTTTAGACCTCATCAGTGGTGATGGCCACAGGATTGTGTACATTTCAAAACTCAGAACAGTACACTAAAAACAGTGAAATTTACAGTGGAGAGGTTTGGAGTTTTTTTTTCCCTGTGATTCATAATTAGGATCATCACCCTGACAACTGCTGAACTTTTGAGATTCTGAGTGGCATTTGAGAGCCTACCATGTTGTTGGGTATTTCAGTAAGTGACACTCATTTTGAATGCTGAGGAGTATCCCATTGTGTGGATATATGAGGGTACCTCAAAAAGTCCATGGAAAATGCAATGAAAAGATAAGTTTATTTTGGTACAAAAGATTTCTGAAATCCATGCATATGAACAGTCTTTTCAAAAGTTCATGAAAAATGAGTATTATGAAAAAAGAAATGGCATAGATTTCAATTTATTTGCACCAACTAAACTTAGCTTTTAATTCTATTTTTCCATGAACTTTTGGAAGTAACCTCCTACTACAATTTGTTTATTCCCCAGTTGAGAGAAATTTGCCTTGTTTCTAGTTGTTTGCAGTCACAAATAAAATCACTATGAGTATTCCCATAGTGAATTGAGGGGTGGGATTTTAGTGCCGCTTGGGTTGCCTGCATCTCATAACAGAGTGCCTGGGTTCGAGTCTGAGATCTCTTCCCAATTCCAGTTTCCTACTTATGTGCACCCAGGGAGGCAGCACGTGATGGCTCAAGTAATTGGGTTCCTACCACAACTGTGGGTTCTTGACTTGTGGCTTTGGCCTGACTCAGCTCTGTCACAGTCATTTGAAAAGCGAAGCAGCAGAGAGATCTCCCTCCCTCTCCCTCCCTTCCCTGCCTTTCCTTCCCACTCCCTCTTTCTCTGTCTTCCTCTCCCCTCCTCCATCCTTCTCTCTCTCTCCTTTTTCAAATAAATATAAAAATAAAACAAGATTTTTGTATGAACACAGGTTGTTATTTCACTTGTGAGAATACTTAGAGTAAGATCCTGGGTCATATAGTAAATATCAGATCATACAATGTTTTTATCAGAAAATGTTTGTCTTGATTTTAATGTCTTGGAGCTATAAGGTTTGTGCCATCAGTTACGTAGAACTTTAATATATTGTTAGAATGGTGTGTAGTATTAGCAAAACCTGCTAAAAACCGATTTTGTTTAACTGTCTGTAAAGGAGAATTCTTAAATCTTTTTGAAAATTTTCATCTACTTGAAAGGCAGAGAGAGAGAGGCAAACATCTGCTGGTCCACTCCCCCAAATGCCTGCCAGATCTGGGCCAGGCTTAAGCTAGGAGCTCAGAACTCCATTCAGGTCTGTTGCATAGGTGGCATGGACCCAAGCACTTGACCCAGCAAATGGTACCTTTCAGGATGCTTTAGCAGGAAGCTGGTTTCAAACCGGAGTAGCTAGGACTCAGCTCCCACTCTGATATGGAATACAAGTATCCCAAGCGCTGCTTAACCCACCTGCACTCTAACACTTGCCCTTTAGCTTCTTTGGTACTTGGCAGTTACCATGATACTCCCAAAGACTCTTACAGATATGATCCCAATGTGAAACATTTTGATTACAGTATAAAAAATTGGACTTATTTGTGTATCCATATTTGGAAGGTCCAGTTTAAAAAAAATGGAAATTTAGTGAGTTGGGCCTACATGTGTATTCAACATATTACTTATACAACTATAATTTCCACAATACCCATTCTGGGTTCATGGAACTGTTTCTATTTTATAGCTGAGGAAACTGACATTTGAAAGGGTTAGGTAACTTGCTCAGGCATCCTTTAGTGGATGACAGGTTGTTGGTGAAGCTCAGATGTTCTGTCTTTAAGTCTGTTCATCACTAGTTTGCTTGGCATTTGACAGTTTATCAGACAAGAAAAAGATAAAATAAGAAACAAAATGGTGAGAAGCAACATAGAGTGGGATACTATAATTTGATTTAGGAGTAATCATATTCAAGAATCTATTTATGGGACCAGAGCTGTAGCGTAGCAGTAAAGCCGCTGCCTGTGGTGCCAGCATCTCATATGGGCACGGGTTTGAGTCCTGGCAGCTCTACTTCTGATCCAGCTCTCTGCTATGGCCTGGGAAAGCAGTAGAAGGTGGCCCAAGTCCTTGGCCCCTGCACCCACATAGGAGACCTGAAGAAGTTCCAGGATCCTGGCTTCAGATTGGCCCAGCTCTGGCTGTTGTAGCCATTTGGGGAGGGAAGAAGTGTATCGCAAACCTCTCTCTGTCTGCCTCTGCCTTTCTGTAACTCTGCCTTTCAAATCAATCAATCAATCTTTTTTTTAAAAAAAGAATATTCACTGTGTAAAATGAAGTTATTTATTTATAGAGTTTTCTTAAAGTATCTCTGCCTCTGTTTTTCATACATCTTCATTTAAAAGGTTCAAAAAAAAAAAGGTTCACATCATGTTTCCATGTTAATAGTGTTTTTCTGTGTTAGAAAGGTATCAGTCATGATTTTTGGTTTCTACCTTTTTTTTTTTTTCTTTTGTGGCATTCACTTACACAGTATATGAGGATCAGATCTGTTGGTGGACTTAATTTTCTTAAGGAGTACATTTCTGAATGTGCTGCTTTAAACCAAAACCTTGAAATAGATTACAAAGCCGAGTATGCAGTGTGATGGTTCCCATATAGCTGCCCCTTCTCACTCACAGGAATTTCCTGCCTCTCCTGTTGAAGATGTTTTTATAGGGAAGTCAGCATAAAAGTGAATCACCCATGAGCCTTTTTTTCCCCCCTAAGGCATTTCATTTAGTCAACTTGGTATTAATTTAGTTGGTACTCTTTAGTTGACTTGAACACTGTGTTTGTTGATGGTGTGAGCTGATGTTTATTAAGCTGTTAATATTTTACAGACTTCGTGAGTTCCTATTTGGATCTGTATGATCTTTCCTTTAGCAGCAGGGTTACTCATGGTTGAATCTGTGGCCACAGTCTCCAGTGTGAATGCCCTGGTTGTAGCCAGCCCCATCCTAGGCAGTCATTTGCTTGGTGGTTCTGAAGCTTCTCTTCTCCTGGAAGCATTTTGTTTTTTTCTCTTCACTTCAATTGCATTTTTTTTAAAAGATTTATTTATTTGAAAGGCACAGTCACAGAGAAGCAGAGAGAGAGAGAGAGAGAGAGAGAGAGAGGGAGGGAGGGAGGGAGATGTGGGGAGCAACTGGGAGCAACTCGGACTAGACTAAGTTACTGGAATTAAGACTTATTCTATGCATCTGCTCTCCCACAATATGGCGCTGGGAGAGGAGGAAACAGCTTCTACACAGCTGCCTCCAGTTCAACCAATAAACTGTAGGACCTGCTCCTGATTGGAGGAGAGCAGTGTACTCGGCGTGTGGGTAGCAGAGTTGGGATTGGTGGAAGAGGACTATAAAGGAGGAGAGAGACAACATGCACCAGG